TCGGTTATGAAAGAATGGAACCACTGTAGAATAAGGCCACCCACCCATCCACTTGCACGCACACACACCGATCTCTCAGATAGTCTAGTAGAGTATCCCAATCAGTGGTACAAAACTTTACTGAGAAGTCTAAATGAACAAGGACATGACCAATGCAATCCCACAAGAGCAACTGAAACAGTTTCTATACCACAGCCATATCTGAGAAAACTGGAACGAAAGATATCAAATTATCCACTTTATCGAGTGTTGTCTGCAACTGACACCCCACTATTTTCTTCAAGATCTTCCTGGGGGGAAAAAGAAAGTCTGGATACCTAGCAGAAGGTATCCAACACAAGCAAATCATGAGCCACCTTCTTCAGGCTATGCCATTTCCTCCCTTAAGGAAGCATTAACTTCCGCTCAAATATGACCCCAAATACATGCATACAGAGGAGCTAGTGGAACATGAATTCAAGTTGCTGATGGCAAAATTAATGTCGCTGAGAGCCCTGTCTGCTACCTCAAAGTTCACAAGATCAAATCAAGCCCCAAAAGACCTTTTTTAGATGCTCTCCCTGTCATTCTATTGGATTCTGCCCAGAAGAAATCTAAGTTAGTTCGAAATCTTTAGGAAAAGCTGAATCTATGAAAAGTCATTGGAAGAAATAAATCAAACAAATACAAAGCCAGGATTCTTGAAATCTCAGTAACAACCATCTTAAGGTGCAATTTCTTATCTAGTTGAACATACATATGTCTTACTTAAGAAAGCAATATTAGGAGCAATGTACATAGAAACCCTGGATATTTCTCCAGCATCATATTTGGAACCAGAAGATGAAGACGAGAAGAGGAAGGATTTTTTTCCCATTTGCTTGGGCTGGAATCAGAAATAAGTCTTTAAAAAGCACAGGAAGAGAGCAAAACTTTCCCCCAAAAAGTAAAGTAAGAGAGTGAATTCATGGGTTTAAATCCAGGCAATGTATGCAGAAGAAGGGCTGACTGATTTTTGAGATATGAGTAAAGGCTCTGCATGTCATTAGAACCCCAAACCAGATCTAGCTAGAAACAAGCCAATGCTGGTGTGAGATGCTACCTCCAGGCCTAAATTAGGCTCTTTTAAGCTTGGGTTAATAGTAATAACCACTATTGCAGTACCTGCTTTAGATCAGATGAGATCCACTGCCCACTTCGCCTAATGTTGGACTACAAATATTCATTATTCTCAGCCAGTTTGGCTATACAGGCTAAAAATTCTGGGAGTTATAGCCAACGAAGCTGAGATCTCAGGGCAGCAATTTTCCATGATCTGAAGGAGAAAAATTGTGTGTGTGTGTGTGCGCGCACGCATGTGTATGTGCGCGCGCGCATCTTCTACTACCAGAGGCCTTTTCATCTGGAGATGCCATGGACTGAATCTGAAACACAATCTGAACACAAAGCAGATGGGCTACTGTGCATCCTATGTTTCCTATATGGTCTCACATGCTGCAGCTATTGAATTCTACCTCCACCCTTTACCTTCCCAGGTGACCCACCCATGGAAAGAGACGGCTTTCTTCTTTTTGGGGAAGCCTTTGATGCTAGTAGGCTTTCCCAGATGATCCTTGGTGACCTGAGCCCGACTGTCAATCCCTATTGGCGTGTCTCCAGCCTCATTTATTTCTTTGGATTGCCAGATGGTCTTCACCACAATGTTGGCCATTATTGGCTGGGTCGATATCTAATATGAGCACAAATTTTCTTGCCTGCACCACACCAGGAAACATCTATTACCTACAAGCCAACTGGCTCTCTAGGTAGGGCAGGAATCTTCCAGCTGCTTTCATGACCTCATAACAGTTGCCACGGAGCTGGCAATCACAATCTTCTATCCACCATTGTATCACCAACAATCAGCACAGTTCTCAATAAAAAGAAAAGTAATTCAAATAATTCTTTCTTAATTTGAAAGAATTGCATGGATTGAGCTGAAGAAATATATTGAACTGCTAATTGCCTTTTTCTCTTTATACCTTGTTCAGCTTAGATTCAACTACTAGTTAGCTATAGTTTGTTAGATTTCTACAAATCAGTTAAACAATTAACCAGATTTACATATCACACACAAAACGTATGCATCAAAGTTCACACCATGTAATAACTCAATACCAAATAAACTATATTACCAGTATGATTTTTATACATAAAATCCAAACATTATATAATATTTCAATATAATATAATTATATGATTATTGTGTTCCTTACTATTTTATATCTCTTCCATATCTTTCAAAAGTATAACATCTGAACAAGACTACAAAGATAGTATATCATTTGCTGTAGATTTTCTATGTCAACTTGAAACTGTTTCCAGTCCTCTGGCCATGTTAAGGTCATATTTGACTGCACTGCTTGCAATTGGAATTCAATAAAAAATTATAAGCTGCATCCAATTGATTGTCAGCATTTGTCAGTACTGTAAACCGTGTTGGACTTCAAAATCACAGCAGAGATTCCAGGTTGGGCTGAAGATGTAATGACATTATTGGATATTACCAAAAAATAATATCCAAAGCATTCTTTGAAAAATTTATTTATGAAGTGAAACACATAACTCATAAACTATCGAAGACACCTGACTGATTGCTCAGACAGTGGGCTGGTTCAAATGCAACAATATTAAAGACTAGTACAGATAGCCCTCAAGTTATGACCACAAATGAGTCCAAAATTTCTGTTGTTAAGAGAGACATTTGTTAAGTTAGTTTTGTTCCATTTTATGACCTTTCTTGATAATTGTTAAGTGAAGCACAGTTCTAAAGTTAGTAACACAGTTGATAAGTGAATCTGGCTTCCCCATTGGCTTTGCTTGTCAGCAGGTCATAAAAAGTGATCTCATCACCCCAGAACACTGAAGCCATCATAAATGTGAGTCAGTTGCTAAGCATCTGAATTTTGACCACATGACCATGGGGATGCTTCAATGGTTGTAAGTGTGAAAAATGATCATGTCACTTTTTTCAGTAGTTATAATTGTGAACGGTCACTAAATGAATTGTTGTAAGTAAAGGACTACCTGTATTGCTCTACAGTAAATCAAAGAAAAAATTGTATTTCTTTTGATCAATATTAAGTATTGACTAACCACAATAGTTGGGTCGATGTTATGTTTAACCACCTGAATCTACCCAACTGAATGGGTTCACATTCCACAATCAACTGACCTGATATCGTTATTCCGTTTCAACACAATCTATTTAAGATTGTTGCATTGGCAATAAAATGAGGAGACCGCTCCAGATATGCCAATTTGAACTCCAAAAAGAAAAGGCAGGATATGAATGCAATAAATATATTCATTGGTTAGTTTTCACATAACACAAAACCATAATCTGATCCTTTGCCTTAATAAATGAAAATCTACCTATATCTTAGCATAATATACATACCGTGCTATTATGATATGTCAAAGCGTTGACATTTCTCCTTAGCGCTGTGTGTTAATCAAATTGTTTCAGTCAGTTTTAGAAGCTGTATTCAGGTAACTTAAAAGGATCTATTTAGCAAATAATCTAGATTGCAGAAACTACAATAGAATGGTCAATGCATGGAATGCACTACCTGATTCTGTGGTTTCATCCCCAAACCCCCATAACTTTAACCTTAAACTGTCTACTGTTGACGTCTTCACCCCATTCCTAAGAGGTCTGTAAGGGTGTGTGCATAAGTGCACCAACATGCCTACTATCCCTGTCCTACTGTCCCCACTTATTTGTATCCATTTCCTGTATTCATAATCATGTTTATATTTATATCTGTTATCTTATTCATGCTTGAGAAAATAAATAAAATAAATAAATAGATGAACCACAGTGGTGCAGCTGATCACCGGCTGACGCAGTTTGGCAGATCGAATTTCACAAGGCTCAAGGTTGACTCAGCCTTTTATCCTCCTGAAGCAGGTAAAATGAGCACTCAGATTGTTGGGGGCAATATGCTGTTTCTGTAAATCGCTTATAAAAGGGCTGTAAAGCACAATGAAGCGGTATATGTCTAAATGCTATTGCTAAGCCACAGGTTTGCATGGCCACCATAAAAACAATACTCGCACCTTCAGGTTTCCTTAGTTCCTATACTCACATGGAAAGGTGGGACAAATGATTTATTAAAAGTATTACAGAGAAAACATTTCTCCAACAGGAAAAAATAAATAAATGAATGGGAAAGGAAACATGCAAATACTGGATAATATGTAACGTTGTGGCCCACCCTAAAAAAACGGAATATACCTATGGTTTTTATCCAAATGAAATAAGAGTTACATTTGATTCTTTGCTAAAGTAAATTCTGCCCTTAAAGGAGAAGGGGGGGGGGGAATCCACTGAGCAACTGAAAGGCAGAAATCTTTCTACATCCGACCGCCCTTGCTTGTCGTGCCTTCTCCTTCCGAAGCCAATTGGCTGAAACTTGATGACGGTCCCCGCCGCTCTTTTCCAAGCAAAGCAGCTCCGTTTCCAGGCCTCTCTCCTCTGCAGCCTTTCTTTTGCCGCCGTTCCACCGCCAGCCCTTTCGGCCAATAGACCGGGGACTTGGGCTCGGAGGACGCGGACGTCTCGCCCAATACACAGCTTCCAAGAACTCTTCCCCGCCCAATAGCGGGCCGAGATTCAGCCTGCTGATTTCGCAAGAAGCATCACTCAAGCTGAAGAGGAAGAGGGCGGGGCGACCTTTGAGTGACATTTCTAAAAATCTATCAAGATATTCAAACCGAAGGGGAGGCCGGATTAGGTGGGCTTCTTGTGGGCCTGCATCCAATAGAAAACGCAGAGCTGTAGAGGGGACTTATTTGACATTAAGACTCACCGGGTCCAATAGGGAGAAGGGCAGGCGGGATTTAAACCTACCGGCCAATCCCTTAGAAGGCTGGGTTATTTCCGCCCATAGAAAGCACCGCGGGTTTGAAAAGCGGAGCCTCTGTCCAATAGCAAGTGGAAACGTTTAGTGACGGATGGGACAAGAGGCCAATCGGATATGTTTGGGTCGGTTCGGTGCAGCTGGGCCAGGTTCGGGCGCGGAACGGAGCATCGCCGTGGTCCCGATCCTCTATCGTCACCATGCCGGCCGTTTCCAAGGGAGACGGGATGCGGGGCCTGGCCGTATTTATCTCCGATATCCGAAACTGTAAGTGGTTGCGGCTATGGGGAAGACAGGGAGGTCAGAGGGGGATCCTTCAGAACCGAATGGATCTTGTATATGCGCGGGGAGGGAGGCAGGGAGGCATCGGACCTTGGGGAGAATTAGGCTGAGTGGGTGGGTGGATGGAAGCGGCCCGTGATTGTCCTCGGCGGCGGAAGATTTAAGTGTGGTGATGGGTTTAGGGGGCTGGGGGGGGGGGCTCAGTCGACTGAAGGCAAAAGACTTGAACCTCCGGGAGAGGCGCTTGCTGCCCGATCCTCTGCCCAGCGTGGCTTCGGAAAAGAGAAAGCAGGTAGGCTGGGAGAAGGAGGCCACCTAATGTCAAGGTAAGGGCGAGGCTGCCAGTCACCAGACATGCCCGCCGTTTGGGTAGATAGGCAGAGGCCTGTCAGTCATTGGAGGAGGGTACAAGTTGGGTAAAGATGGCATAGGCAGCGAGGATGCTGGTTACTTGAAGCGCCCCCCCCCCTCCCCTGAACGTGGAGATCATTCAACCTGAGATTTGTATTTGCTTTGGCTATTTTGCTTAATCCTGAATTATTATTATTATTATTATTATTATTATTATTATTTTATTATTATTATTATTATTATTATTATTTAACAAAAGAGGGCGGTGGGGAGAGAAGTGGGAAAAGTTGTTTAGAGGGGTGGAAATTGGGGATCTTGGCCATTATAGGGAAATTATAATATCGATTATAGGTCATTATAGTGGTTGAGAATAAAGAAAGGGGTTCTGAGATTTGCTTAGAGATAAGGTTCCATCCCTTCTACTTCCTGCTGCCCCTATATATAAATATAATCCAAAGATGGAGGTAGGCAGCTGTCATATGACAGATGGATAAATACAGTATGCTTGCTAACTGCGATAGGCTAGGGCTTGATTTTGTAAATTTGGAGGAAAGATCGTATGTATTGGGAAGTCTGTGTGTGATGACATAAAAAAGAACTCTTGGACCTTTGCAGAAGGTCTTAAATGTAGGCTCACTATATATGATATAGAACTCCTTGAAATTTGTACAATATTTCTCATCTGGATTTTTGCAGCCTAAATATAAGCCTTATTGCAGGCATGTTGCTGAAAAATAAGAGGTTGCTATTTAGAATCTCCATAAGAGAAAGAAAGATTGAGGAATTCAGATTGTCCTATGGAAAACAAGTGAAAACCTGGGAAGGTTTCTAATTACTATAAATTGACAGCTTTTCTATTTCATTCATTCCCATTAATATCAATTTGAAATTGGAGAAGTTTTAGTTGTCATTGAAGCCAAATGGGTGAACCTGATGGAGCATGGTTAAAGCATATATTTGTAGCTTCCTTCAGTAATGCTGAAAAAAACATCCAATTACTGGCTTTGATAGCCTGTATTAATTGCCCTTATTTTTCAGATATGCTTCTTTAGTCATGAAAAAAGCTCTAATGATCAGGAGACCAAGGATGTTACAGAGTATATTTTAAAATGTAGAGATTTTAAGTCAGATCTAGATTTTTTTTGTTTAGATTTTGGTATGGTTGTTTCATTGTGGCTGAATACTAATATTACATTTGATTCAGTCCCCCCCCCCCAGTTCCTTCTCAGGAATCCTAATCTTTGCCCTGGCCCTTTCTTTTTTCAGCAAATGAAAAAGCATTTTGCAATGTTACTTTTGCAAGAATAATATATTCAATAAGGCTAAATAGCAATCCTAGAGCACTTTTCTATAGAGTGAAATCAACAGAGCTCACAATCTTTTTAAGGCTCTGACTGATTTTCCTCTAGCCTAAACCATCCCTGCAGTTCATTGAAAAAATCTAGAAAAAAGCATAACTCCACTATTCTGGAAAACATATTAAAAGCTGATTTGATCAGGTAGTTTTAATTATGTTGCAACAACTTCTGTATGCTGAAATTTCAGGGAAAAGTCATTCTGTAGCCATGTGAATTGGCCTAGCACCAGCAGACCATATAAGCCAATTTGCTTGGAGGCAGAGGCTTTCCATGTGTGGGATTTTTGGCCCTAGTTCCACAGCAGCTAGTCTCTTTAACATCTCTGAAAATATTACCAGAAGAGATTTTAACTCCATGGTGGTAGTAATGCACATTCTTTGCATGCAAAATATTTTATGCCATGGAATTATTTGAAAGCTTCAACTAAAACAGGATTAGGCTATCTAGTGATCTCCAGATTTCAGGTGATAACTCCCATTACTCCCAGCCAGGAATTATGGGAATTGTTGTACAAAAGATTTTGAGGTTGCTCACAGGAGTGATTAAAAGGGTAAGATCTTTTATCTAAAGGGGAAAAAACATTATAGAGCAATGGTGCTTTATAATATGAGTATAGTTTCTTCTGTTTTTATGCAAGTAGATAATTCAGCATGCCTCTTTTTAAATTGCTTTATATAACTATGTTTTCTTACCCATCATTTATATCTGATTAGAGATGTCAGAACAATTTGGGAAGGGATTGTGACACATTTCCAGAAAGGTATTGTCCTAAAACTGCCAAATTGGAAAGGAAAGTTCTGTGGCTTTAACAGCTGTGAGGAAGATGGTATTTTGTTAGATGCAGCTTGTAATGCATAGACATCAAAAGCTGCTTCTGCCAACATTTATTGTAAAAGCAATTAAAAATGAAGAAGCCATGTCCTTCTTGTGCAATGCCCATCCAGTGTTTCAGAAAATACTCTGTTTATAAATAGTGTAGATTGGTGAATGAATAGGACCTGATGTTTTTTGGTGTTGTATAATCAGTAGAAGTCAGGCATATATTTCCCATGGCTTGGGGGTCCACATTTTAGGATGTTATGTGAGATCTTTGAATCACTAAACGAGCAGAAACAGGGGCTGGAACTTGTGGGAGAGAAATTTCAACAGAGAACAGATTGGATTGATTTAGACTTTATTTAGCAATAGTAAATGAAGCAATAAGAAGCCAGGGAAGCATTGAGGAATAATTGGGAAGAGCTATGTTCAAAAAGTTAGACAAAAGACTGCATCTTATATTAAACACATATATTTGAGGCGGGGGGGGGGGTTGTAGGGAGATGTAAGAGGCCTTCTAACAAAATTGAATGAGATCTGATGGCCACATAACTAAGGAATGTCAATTTCAAACTGAGTTTAGGACTTTCTGATGTGCAAGAAAGCATAGCTATGGTGAAATCCAGGCCCTTGGAACTTCTGTGAACTTCCCGTTGGATGAGCAGGATGTGATAAATAAAGTAAATATGTTTTTACAGATCTGGTGGCCACTGATTGTTGTGGCATGGATTGTTTTAGATATGCATTCATATATTCTTTGATCTTCTTATAAAGTGGAATCTGTTTCTAGATTTTATTGAATTCTAACTCAGATAAGCCTGACCATAAGCCACTGGACAAGGATTATGGGAATTGTAATACAACATGCCCTGGAAAAGGAATTTCCCACTTCTGAATACAGTTGCATTTACCCAGAGAGATGAACAAAGAGCTCTTACATTGCCGATTCTTAAGGAACTGCAATTCTTAAGCAAAGAAAAGTTGGCAGGCCTCAGATATCCTCAACAGGGTGCTATAGGGACAAAAGGAGAGACCCCTATGAGTGTGATTTTTGTTTTAACATCCTATGAAGGAAGGAAGGAAATGTTTGAGGGAACACAGCTTTCTCTTTTTAGAGGCTGATTTCCCTGCCTCAAGACAGGGAATAGAAGTAGTAGTATTTGGATCATTTGCTTTTGGCAGGTCAAAGAAGGAAGCATGTGTTTTGGGTTCTAATGCCTTCTTTGGTCATCTTCCTTTTATCTGTGGAATATGCAAACCAGGAAATAAACAAAGAAATATGATAGCCTTGAAAGGATCGCTTCCATGGTGTGATGTAAATAATAGCATCTACCTTGTGGTAACTCTCCAATCGCATTGTCAGTTAATCTGAAACCCAAGATGATGAACTAACATGGGAATAAACTGCAGGGTAATACATGCACGTATCTCAATATTCTTGTCTTTGGTATGAGTGGCTAATTCGTGGTTAAATTATGATTTAAAGAAAGTATTTCTGGTTTGAATTGACATTTTAGGAGATACTTCTGTGATTGGAAACCCAAAGAGTAATCTTTCAAGATGGTGATGGGGTTTTTTTTGTTTTTTGTTTTGCTTTCATTGAGAGAAGAATGAATGAATTAAATGTACTAGTACGTTGTTTCACACTTAGAGACGGATGGATCTACTTTAATAATGTTTCTTAAATTATTATCTCTTCTGAAGTAATTTGAAACATCTCAAATCAAATAATATTCCCTCTCATTTTCATCCACTTATTTTAGCACAGCTTTCCCCACTATTAAAACAGATTGTGCTGTACTTGTTGGTTGCATGGTGTTAAATAAGGGAACTTTATAGAAGAAATGGAAGGAAAGATACAGCAATCCTAATTTAGCAGAAAAGATATTGGTGGACTATTTAAAGCAAAGGGCTCAAAGCTCTTTACTTCCATTGCAGAATTTAGCAATTTAATTTTCATCTACATTCATTTAAATAAAGTCCAACAGATGTTATACACTATTATTGATGAATGAAATTGTTACCAGTCTCAACTGGCACCTGAGTTTATTAATATTGTACTTTTTAACTTAAGGATACAGATGTGGCCTCCTACAGTCAATTTCTCTGAATCAAGTAACTAACTTTCTCTTCCTGTGATGTCATCTTTCTTTCTACTTAATGGTTTAAATCCTGGACAAGGAATCATTTTTTCCCCTCATGTTCCACAGCCACTACTCCTCCTGTACAAAACAGCTCCATCCTAAGGAGCATTTATACATAAAATCCCTTTATTTATTTCAGCCCTCATCCTGCTGAGCTAACTTAATTGTGAACATCTTCTGCCTGTTAGGACAAATGTTCTCTTAACCTCCTGGGAGCATTTACTCTCCAGGTTTGTTAGATGTAGATCTGTATTCTCTGTCTTATGTAGCAATGTTGCAATGGTTTTTGCAACTATCCAAGAATGGGTGCATTGCTCTGTTATACTGATGCCTGAGCCTTATCACCTCAGAAAGTACCAAGGGACTCTAAGATATAGAAAATCCACAACTGCGGAAAAATGATTTTAATTGCAAAACAGCCCCTAGGCCTAGGGTGTGTACACACTAAATTTTTCTCTGAATGTTATTATTTATTTATTATGCTTTTGTTCCTCTGTAACATATTTTTCTACAGCAGCTTACCACACTCTAAAAGCTATTATGAAAACAAATAAAATGACAAAAATATACAACATAAAAACAAAACGTATGGACATCAGATAAAGACTGCTTAAGAAAGTGTCCCAGTATAACATTTCAAATATGAATCATATGTATGAAAAAGAATTAAAATATATTTGCCTAGGGCCAGAAGGATAATAGACACCAGGCCTGACTTACTTGGGAGCCATCCATAGCCTGGAACAATTAGTGGGCATCTGCTAATTGCAGATCAGCATGGCACTGGAGCAGGGCTTTTAAGCATGATCTTACTATAATGAGTTGGAATATATGGAAAGAGATTCCTTCACACACTGTCACAAATAAATGTAAATGTTTGTGTGAATAGACACCAGCACCTTGAATTGGTACCAGAAGCAAATTACACCATTCCTTTCACCTAAATACCTTTTCACTAGCTGTTGCTGAACAATGGCTTGAGAAGAATGTATTTTGATTGAAGAAAAACAGTACAATAATGCAGACTGCCTCTTCCTGTTCTGATCAAAAATATGAGCCTCCTGTTTGACCCTGTAGCTCCTGGGTTTTAATATACAGCAGCCTTCTCTGAGATGGTATTTCCATATATGTGGGAATTGCATCGAATTCATTTAGAGGAGAATAGGTTGGGGGAGGTTTTGCTTTTTCATGCTGTTTTACTCAAGAAGCATATGTGGCAATTTGTCATTATCTCTTGGCATTTACAGATATGCATCTGACCACTTTCTTCATCATATTTATTTTAGTTGTTTCATGCAATCAGCACTATGCAAATACCTAGATGATTATGTATGGAGGTTGGGTATTATCCATGTTTTATTCCTTGCTTCTCATTTCCAGGTAAGAGTAAAGAGGCTGAAATTAAACGAATTAACAAGGAGTTGGCCAATATCCGATCCAAATTTAAGGGTGAGTTCTTGTACTGTATTTTTTCCTTCTTCTCCCCTTCTTTCTTTTGATATTTTGCAGTATAATCCATCTTTTTCTCACCACAAATCCCTGCTCTAGTTCTATCAGTGACTCAGTCCAGTTTACTCACTGTCTCCTGTTTTTGTTCTCTCTCTCCCTTGACAACCAGGCTTTTCTCTAGCACTTTTCAAGCCAGTTTAAGCATTATCATCTAACTTGTATTATACGTATCACTGATGCTTTGTAGAAAGCAACTGTGTGTAGCATTTCTGTGGGATTCAAGGTTCAGATGCTGAAAAGCTAACCTGTTCCAGCTGGAACAATGAAATAAAGTCAAAAATATCTGATTTTAGGTGGTATTGACTATAATAAACCACAATGATGTCAAAATGATGACACATTTTATAGCATTTTGTACATGGTATGATTATTTGTGTCCTACATCTGACAAAAGTAGTTTGTGGATTTTTTGTAATGATATCATTATATAGTAATAGCACTTAGACTTATATACCACTTCATAATACTTTACAGCCCTCTCTAAGTGGTTTTCAGAGTTAGCATATTGCCCCCCAACAATCTGGAGCCTCATTTTACCCACCTCGGAAGGACGGAAGGCTGAGTCAAACTTGAGCCTGGTGAGATTCGATCTGGCAAACTGCTGGCAGCCGGCAATCAGCAGAAATAACCTACAGTACTGCACTCTAACCACTGAGCCACCGTGGCTCATATATGTGCCGTCATTTGTTTTTCCTGTGGATGCCTGTAATTCTAAGCCCTCAAATTGAACTAGGAGTTTCCTGTCTCTTCTCTGTCCAGGAGTTGCCTGTGTCAGTACCCTACACAGCACTGTAAAGTAAATTCCTATCTAATGAAACTCAAGGGTTATTTCTCCCAGAAGTTATTTCCATTTAGCCCATTAGATGCAACTCTGTCCCTCCTTGATCTCAATATTAATTTCCATATATCTCAGATTTTTGCAGCACAATTCATATTGTTATGGAAAGGAACAACTCCTCCTCCTCCTATATTTCCTTGTTCATCATTCCATGCTTCAGCTTTGATTAGCAAGATTTAACAAGTGTCAATTTGTTATCTCTAAGGTCAGGACATTAAATCAGGGAAGTAGCTTCTTGGAATGCACACTTCAGCTGCTCATGCCAAAGGTCTAGCTAAAGGCAGGAATAAGAGCTCCATAGGAGAAAGCAACAAAAAGTTCAATTATTTTAGGCAAAATCTTCTTATCCAAAGTAGACAGCTATGCTCTTGAAAACTAGCCCAACATAAAGGAAGTGAATTGATTGGACATACATACACACACATGCTAATTCAGATTTCCAAATAACACAATGTCTTTATCCCTCTGTTTGAATCTACTTGACAGGTTTGGATCCAAACATCCGTATCCATAGATGTTCACAAAAAATAAAAATAAAAGAAATTTTAATTACTGGTTTATGTAATCTTCTCTGCAAATCTTCTGCTCCCAAAATGATTATAACTGTGTTACCGTTATTCTGTTAAAAAAGAGAAAATGTAATAATATATATGGAAAGGTTATACCTAATTCTAACAACATTATCTAGAACTTATAAAGGCATTCCAAATGTATGTTGGAAATATGAAACACATGAAGGAACATTCTGTCATGGTTGGTGGGCATATAAATAGCTAAAGTTTTGGATTCAAACACACATGTTGATACATAGAATTTTAAAGATTACTGTTCAGTAGAAGACAGAACTTTGATTTTTAGGACCAATGAATGCATACTTTAAAAAAACTTCCTAAGAGTCTATTTCAATATGTAACATTTCTGCCAGATTATTATATGCATAAATATGGAAAGATTCAACATTTCCCACTTTGGAAGACTGGTTGCTAAAATTTACAAAACTTGTTGAAATAACTAAACTTTTTAATTAAAGATTGTTGTTATATTGACATACATCAATGATTGGAAATCTCTTATCAATTCTGTATAAAAAAGAAAATGATTTTGTGACTTAGGGTTTGATGATTAAAAAGAACAAGCTGTAGGAAGAAGGGAATTATAATGAAATCTAGAGAAAGATGTTCAATTAAAATTGTATCAATAACTGCCAGGTATAAAATCAGAAACCACTTAATTATATTTTTATCATGTTTCTCTTCTCTATTTCTTTTTTCTATCTCTTTTTGGTTTTCTTTCTTTTTCCACATTTACTATAGTTTTTTTCTTTGAATCTATTTCTTATTATATATACAAATTCTTTTCATAAACATTAAAAAAGAGAAGTGATACTGAATGAAATGGTGCAAAGAAATAAAGAGAAACAAAAGAGAAAGAAAAAAGTTATAAAGAAGTGTCTTCTGATCTTGTTAACAGCAATTACTTCAGGTGTGTGTAAAAGATCAAAATGGGTTATTTTTATTATATGGTTGTCCTTAGACAAAATCTTGCCAAACTAAAGCATAGTTAAATGCCAAGAAGAAATTAGGGGATCCTACATAGCATTGATGCAAGGCTAATAATTCCCTTTACTCCCCCATCTCCTAATTTAGCATCAGATTCTACCACAGTCACAAGTACCGGGTACATTTATATTTTATCCTCTCCTTTTCTAAGGCTATGATATAATCTCCTTTATATAATCTACATCTTCTAAATCATCAAACTCATAAATTATAAGTTCATTTTTTTCTTTTTTCAGCATAATGTCCATAATGGGTTTCCAGTCATTAATAAATGTGGTTATTGCCCTTTCTCTTATCAGACAAGTTAACTTTTGTCATCTGTGTGAATTCTGTCATCTTCACCAGCCATTCCCCCATTGTGGTATAATTCACTATGTGTCTTTAAATTCAATATTTTCTGGCTTTTTTACCATCAGGCAGGATAAATTGACCCTTCATATTGTCCACATTTTCAACACTTTCATACATTCTTTCATACAATTTTTCTGGAGTTTAAAACCAATGTTACATCATAAAAATACCTTTTAAATCATAACAATGTAAATCTCAATACTTTCAGCCACATATTTTCCTATTGTTTCATCAGTATATTATATACAAAGTTCTTAACCCATTTAGCATCTAAATCATTTCCAAGAAAGAACATCTGGCTATCATTTTTCTTGATTGCCTTTGATCCCTAATGCTTCCACTTTGGTTATGAATGCCAACCTTTTCTTATGTGCACTGATAAAAACATTTATGACAACTGTCAAAATTGCAGGAAAAAAGGTACTATTAGGTAGTCATAACAATGCACAAGAATGATTTCTTGCCCCAAAGTTCAAATTATAGTCCATTCATTTTTTTCTACTGTAAATCTTTCAATCGTTGGAGTTTGAGAATGTGAAAAATCCAGTTGCAGTCCAAAATTGATCTGTAGATTGGAGCAGAAGTGTGTTTTATAATACTTTCAAATAGTATTATTTTCTCATTGATGTGTATTCTTATGAATGCATTCACTGATGTCCATAGATAGAAGCAAAACATATCTTTTTTCATCAGAATGTAAGTGAATGGACAAAAAGAGAACTCTGTGTTCTTCTCTGCTTCATTGATCAGAGTAATCGAGAATTGATGGGAAGTGTTAATCAAGGCCATTACTGTTCCCCAATGTGACTTTTGTGGTAAACGGAATTTCTAAATCCATTGGCAGCTTCATTTATGCCATTGAGGTATCTGATGAACTAGACTCTAGAGCAGTGGTTCTCAACCTTCCCAATGCCGTAACCCTTTAATACAGTTCCTCATTTTGTGGTGACCCCCAACCATAAAATTGGTGTCTCGGTTCCTAAGACCATCGAAAATACGTGTTTTCCGATGGTCTTAGGCGACCCCTGTGAAAGGNTTGGAGAGCATGTGTACTCTAGCCAGTTCTGAATTCTCACATGAAGCTGTCAAGACCCACATTGAAACAGTCATCAATGCTCTAAAGGTCAGACTCTGAAATGGCATATGCAGAGAAAAGTGACGTTTATGGGGAGCGAGGGTGTAAGACTGATTGAGAGTGACTTCCCCAAATTTCTTAATTCTGTTTCCAGATAGTGAGGGAGAATGCAAGCTCAGTCACAAAGCCATTTTCCAAAGAAAGATCCTCAGTAACTTCTTTGCTACCAAATATAATTTCTGTTAAGAGTGAATTAAACAGTTAGAATATATGTCACAATCTTAGCCCTTCATCCCCAAGTGATGGGAGGCAAGATTAAAATTACAAGAAGGAACAAACTGAATCATGTGCTGCATGAGGCACCCCAACTTGAGGTGCTAAGATTGTACCACTGAAATTCAATGGCAGAATTTTGAGTCATTCAATTTTTAGCTTTTTTTCTCAGCAAATAATAGGTAAAAATATATCTGTTCTTTAATATTCCTCCAAGTCATCTCAATGCTACTTTCAAGAATGGGCTGAAAATTCTCATGTAATTCCTAGTGATTTTGTTGTATCAAAGGGAAATGACCTTTGTGGCCCTTAAAGTCAGAAATATATATGTACATCAGTGGTGGGTTTAGGATCCCGTTGCAACCGGTACGATGCAATGGAGCAGGGTGTCTACCACATGCATGCAAGCAGCACGCACACGCATACTTACTGCCCACAACGCTCTGTGACGCTCCAGCTGCTCAGCGGAGCGTTCCACAGGTGCGCATGTGCGTAAGCCCCAATCGGCTCAAATACAGGTAATAGCAATAGCAGTAGACTTATATACCGCTTCATAGGCCTTTCAGGCCTCTCTAAGCCAGTGTTTCCCAACCTTGGCAACTTGAAGATGTCCGGACTTCAACTCCCAGAATTCCCCAGCCAGCATTTGCTGGCTGGGGAATTCTGGGTGTTGAAGTCCGGACATCTTCAAGTTGCTAAGGTTGAGAAACACTGCTCTAAGCGGTTTACAGAGAGTCAGCATATTGCCNAATCCTGATGACTTCAAGACATGTGTCTCCCTGGCAGTATCCAGGCTCAGCAGGGTAAGTGAAGAAAGGAGAGCCAAGAATCCATTTCTTTGCTTAGCATGATTGCACTGCCATGTTTTGTTTCAGCATTTTTTAAACATTTGTAGTAGACCCAGAGGTACTTTTCCAAAAGACAACTGGACTTTCTTGTTGCACGCACATGCACGAGCAAACCAGTAGTAAAATAAATTGAAACCCACAACTGGTCTGGGTGTTTTATACTTGGGTGGAAAAGCATTTTCCTTAGTGTATTCTTAGTTTAAAATGTTCATGTATGTTATATTGGTTGAAAATCCTTCTGAGTTTTTCAGATATTCCTGCAACATATGGAATAAACAACAACTTTGGTCTGTTTGATGTTCTCTTTTGCCTGTTATACAGGAGCTCCTACTGGATCTTTTAGTAGCTTTGTTTCCTTGATATATTTTTAATATTTTTCTTTTCCCTTTTTGATGGTAGGCAAACCTTCAGCGTGATGGTATAGGGTTCTACTTACTCCCCATTGGTATTCCAGTGGGTGGTGAGAATCAAAATGTAAACATTGATCTGTGTGTGTGTATTTTCTGTAAACTTCAGTGTTAAGGCTTCAGTCTTCCTTAATATGTACTGTACTGTCCCAGAAGACCAGACTGTTTTCCTTAACATCTTTCCAAGTAAATGTAATGTTCCTGTCAGGAGTGGGTTTAATTTTTTTTTACTACTGGTTTGGTGGGTGTGGCTAAATGGGGGCATGTGACTGAGTGGGCGTGGCCAACTTGATATTACTTCCACACACTCAGTCACATGAACCCCTCACCAAGCCATCCCCACCGAAACAGTGGCAAAAGGTTTTGATGGCGGGAGGGGCCTTCAGCCCCGCTGGAGCTAAGGGAACACCTGCATACTTCCCAGTAAGGAAAAAAAAAAGTTTTTATCCTCCCTGGCCTTCAGGAACACTAAACAGGCTTCAGCAGGGCAGGAGGAAGGCAAAAATGCCCCAATTTTTGCAAAAAATGGACAGAAAACAGTCTGTTTTTTGCAAAAACAGAGGCATATTTGTTTTCCCCCCTGCCCTGCTGAAGCCTGCAGAATGCTTCTGGGGGGTGGGGAAGGCAAAAACGCATCCGTTTTTGTGAAAAATGGCCTAGTTTTTTGCAAAAATGGGGGCATTTTTCCCTTTCCCCAGCCCTGCTGAAGCCTGCAGAGTGCTTCTGGAGGCTGTGGAAAGGCAAAAATGCATCTGTTTTTGTGAAAAACAGCCCATCTCTGGGACCTCTCTGGGACTGGCATGTGCACACCATTAAAAGGGGGAGGGGGAATTACATTTTTTTCAATGAAGATTGTTTTGCGTATGTGCAGAACAAAAAAATAACGATGGCGACACCCAGGATAGAACCGGTACGGTCACGTGTCCAGCCGAGTTACTATCTATTTGGCCGAACCAGTAGGAACCCATCTCTGGTTCCTGTCCACAAGTTTGATGTATTTGGTGAACGATTCCCCTTTCTATGTTTTAATTTTAACCCAAGTATCATCCACATATCTACACCAGTGAATGGGTAAAGGTATTTAGGACTTTGGTTTCTACTTCTTTCATGTAGAAATTGGCCACAATATGGGACCCCATGATGTTCTGATTCAAGTGACTTGGAGGATAGAGATAAATTCCCAAGTGGCCTCAAAAATTCTTAGAGAGCTAACAACTGATCCTCGGAGTGCCAGTGACCAGATGACTGCACAAAAATATAAATCCTTCAATTCTCTACCATTTAAGTAAAACTGAAGAAGCTTTTTGGATGAGAAGCAAAACATTTTTAAGGGAAAAAAGCAAGAAAGTCCAGTTGCCTTTCGGAAAATCACCTTTAGGACAATCATGATCGATGACTGAGAATATCCAAAGACATTTGTGATAGAATTTGTGTTTGTTGGAAAACCATAATGGTCTTGGAATACATTGTGACTAATTAACAGAAACAATTATTTATTTGGTAATAGATCAGCAGGTGAATTCAGAAATGACAGTTAACTAAAATAAGATACAAAAGAAAGGAAATGAATATTACATAAATATTCTAGAATGTCTAAAATATTAAGGGGTCTTAGAAGCAAATCTAATCTCAGGTGGAGATTTCTGAATAGTACTTAATTGTAGACAGATGGAGTCAGATTGATGTAATAATAGCATTTTAAGATAAATCAGAATGACCAGGATATTTAATAAAAAGTGGAAACAACAACACCTGGCATGCTTCTGTGTGACTAATTAAGGAATCTGGGAATGAAGTTGCAACATCTTAATTCTCCAAAGAAAATACAGTGACTGTTCTTTTTCCGCATTGTGCATTCTATTATTTGTTGGGCATGGATTGTCTGATACAGAAGTTGACCTTAGATACCCAAAAAAGGGCAATGAGGATAGGTGATAGAGAGGACAGCATTGTAATCATGGATGTGATAAATGGCTTTGTCCTCCCCTCATTGGATGGTGGAGAGACAAAAAAAGGAGGTCTGATATGGAGTCTTAATCATTTCCTTCTACAGAGCTATGAGTTTGCCTGCTTTGGAACAAATATCTACTTGACAGTATAGATTGAGAACATGGACAGTTGCCTATAGGATGTGGAGGAGGATTTTCTGGAGTTTCTCCCATAAACTTTTTCCTTTAATGGAAGCTTCTCTTCCTGGCTGATAGCTTCCTCCATTCCGTCTTGCTGTTTTATTAAGATTGTGCAAATTGTTCACATGGTTGCAGTATATGCAATATTTATTTGGACAAAATACAATATAATGATTGAGCAATAATGCATATTGATAGATTTAGTTTGGTGTTCTCCAACTTTTTCCTGACATATCTAAGCACACAATTCTTTGTTCTTTTGCTGAATGACATGGCTGACTTCTTTTCTGACCATAATAGTAGCTTGGGATGTTGGGGCCTTAAATTGGGAGTAGAGGTATAGGGGCCATTTATTGCCCTATAGTTTGCCCCGAATTTTGTGATATCACTAATTTTACTTAGAGTTGCAAACCATGAACTTTTGTGATAATGGCACAGTGATGATTGGGGAACATGATTGTTTTGATAGACCAGATGTGGAAATTCTGACCGGCTCTCTGGGCTGCCCTGCTTGTATCCTTTCCTTTCAGATTGTCTCTTCAGCCTCCACAGACCTCCAGGACTACACCTATTACTTTGTGCCAGCCCCTTGGCTCTCAGTCAAGCTTCTGCGGCTGCTACAGTGTTACCCTCCCCCAGGTAACAAACATGCTCAATAAAGTCATATAGTCAAGATAATACTGGAATATGCCATATTCCTCTACTGGAGAATAGTTGCCTGAACTTATTGCTGGTTTGCAGTTCCCTCCTTAGTAAAAGGCATATAAGCAACAGTTTATTATTAATCTTTTACCTCTTCATCACAAATTTTATTTGTAATTCAGGATAATTGACTATTTTGAATGCATTTTTGGCAAATGGATGGATATGAATTTAATAAAAGTTAGCTTCTCTTCATCACCTTTTCCCTAGGCCTAAGGAAGTCCCTTTTTCTTCCTCTATTAAAAAGCCTACACAAACATTATGCTCATGCCCTTCCTATTCTCCTCTCCCTCTGCATTTCTCAAAGGGACACCCTGATAATATCTGTAATTTTTGTAGCATTCCAAAAACACTGAGCTTTGGTTGCATTTCCTTATGGAGCCTTTCAGAACAACAGAGAATGGATGGTCCTAANGATGGTCTTAGGCGACCCCTGTGAAAGGGTCATTCGACCCCCAAAGGGGTCCTGACCCACAGGTTGAGAACCACTGCTCTAGAGCTTTCCCTATCTTGGCACTCCAATCTAAAGATGGAGTATCAGAATAAAATATTATGCCAGTTTGAAACCCCCCTCAAACTGGGTCTCTGGAGGAGTAATTGAGAAAAGTAATCTATCAGGAAATTTGGCCACATAAAAAGGAAAACAGGAAGATATTACCTGTGACCTTGACTCCTGCTGACAAAAGTGGCTTTCTGAGGGCTTGTAATAGAAGGTCAAGGTGCTGTTGTAGCTGTCCTTTTCCCCTCCAAGTTGCCTTGCAGATGCCTCTCTCCTTCCAGCAGGGCAAGTGATCTTCCTGCCCCACTCCCCACCTGTCACTCTCCCCTCTCAGGAGATAAAGCCTTAGATGGTTACAGCAAGAAGAAATATGTCTGCAAGCTGCTTTTCATCTTCCTGTTGGGCCATGACATCGACTTTGGGCATATGGAGGCAGTCAACTTGCTCAGCTCCAACAAATACACAGAAAAACAAATTGTAAGTAATCCCAATGGTAGTGGGATTTTTAAAAACAAATCCTGGATTTTACTAGCTCGTTATTTTGATTTTCCTTGTGAAAAGTAAATTACACTAGTGATATATTTCAGTGGAGAGAAAAGGCTTTTAACACATTGTATTTGGAAGATTCTGGTTCTGATTTTGAATTATATATTATATTTAGATTATCCTGTTCACCCTCTAACATTGTTATGCTCAGATTTATATAATCCACACAATGAACCTTTCAGGTTGTAAGAGAAAGGATAATTGGCACAAGATCAGCCTGGGTTCTACTAAATCTAGTCTGACCTTCTAACGATGCACATGCTGGCTCCAGGAATGTAGTCAAATGGCTGAGTTCATGCAGCATGCTATGCTTTAAATGGAAGTAAACAAAACATAGTTGCTGCATATACATTTGCCTAAATAATATTATGGCTTAGTTTACTTGTACTATGGCAATGCCTTCCTCCTGCAAGTTACTGAATGAAAAAAACCAAATTAAAGCACTAAGATGTACAACTCCTTCTAGCCTCACTTTTATAATCTTATGGATTGTTGCCAGAGGTGGTATTCAGCCTGTTCTGACAGGTTCTGGCGAACTGGTAGCTGAAATATTGAGTAGTTCGGAGAACCTCTAACTGTCCCCGCCCAATCTATTTGTTGCCTCCCGAGTCCCAGCTGATCGGAGCCCTAGCTGATCAACTGGGTCTTCTTTTGTTGCCCTGCACAGGGGAACAGAGTTGGAAAGCAGGTTAGTGGAGTGGGGAGGGAATAGAGACTTTACAGTATCCTTCCCCCAGGAGTGGGGTGGAAATGGGCATTTTGCAATATTGTTCGCCTGCCATACCTACCAAGCCACGCCCACTGAACTTGTAGTAAAATATTTTGAATCCCACCACTGATCATTGCTATCCAGAATCAGTGTTCCCATCTTGATTGTTATTTTGTCTTCAGTGGAGATTTGAGCATTCCATTCTTCCCCTTTTTCAAATAATATCACAAGATGCATTTTTTTTCTTTTTGAATTAGGAGCCATTCTGATAAGATGACAAGTATTGTTATTCCCTAATAAAGCAGTAGCTGAGCTTGTTGAAATTTGAAAAAAGGAAAAAAAATATTCCCCGTGCTTTGGAGGGAAATAGTGGGGCAGTTAATGAAAGTGCCAAAGGAAAGGTTTCTGCAAACTTACGTTCCAGAGGAGAAATCAAAATTAATTGACTATACACTCTTATCACTTTTGTGCATCTGGCCAGCTTTACAACAGCCCTTGTCTGCTGAAGAACAAAGTGATCCTTTGCATGCCATTTGCCTCACTGAAGCAGGACTGGAGGAAATGCAATTATTCCTAACTACAGTTCCCAGCATTCCTGACCACAGCTATGCTGGCTAGGCCTGCTGAGATCTGTAGTGCCTCAAGACTTGGAGGACCATTGATTTTCTTGGAGGACCATTGATTGATCCCTTTAATAAAGGTATGCCTCTGGTTGCCCTGCAGTGCTTAATTTATCCTTTGTTCTTTCTGTGCTTTTTGGTCTACTCCTCTAGGGCTACCTATTCATTTCAGTGCTGGTAAACTCCAATAGTGAGCTGATCCGTCTCATCAACAATGCTATCAAGAATGACTTGGCAAGTCGCAATCCCACCTTCATGTGCCTNGTCATCCAGATTGTCATTAACCGGGATGATGTGCAAGGTTATGCAGCCAAGACAGTCTTTGAGGTGGGCAGCCTTGACTTGGGACACTGACTGTCTTTTCTTACCTCTCTAGAGCTCTGAAGAAGTTTTCTTTTCCCTCCTTTTATGAGTATGTGACTCTGGCTATGAAAATTAGATGGCTTGTCCATTCTTATTTCATTGTTCCAACATATGCAGCCATAGATAAGAAACAAATACCTTCAGGGGGCACTAAAATGGATTGCAGTTTAAGAAGGACTGAGCATCTTCAATGTCCACAAAATGCTAAATATATATTGATGCAGGGGAATGAAATGAAGTATTCTGGAGTAGGTTATGGCTGATTGTGAGGGCAATAATGGAGGGTATGACTATTGACCTCCATATGCACATAGTTTTGCAGTATGTTAGATGCTGAATATACCAGATTCTAGAATGTCAGAGGCTGTCAGTCAATCTAAAACAGTCTGGGGAAAAAATTGAATCTGTTTAAGCCTTTGATCTCATGGGATTGGTTAGGAAAGGAGTTCAAAAATATATAACCTGCCCTTTTTTTAAGAGCAATGATATCATAATAAACAAAAATAGGAGCTTATTCTCAAGTTGCATCTACCTAACTGCCCACCATGCATCCTATTTGATTTACTTTTTCTAGGCTCTTCAGGCACCTGCTTGTCATGAAAACATGGTGAAAGTTGGAGGCTACATCCTTGGGGAATTTGGGAATCTCATTGCTGGGGATCCCCGTTCCAGGTAGATAATATGAGAGGAAATGGCTTGACCTGGAATAGGGGGTAGGGTAGAATGGGGTGAGATAGAGCAGCTTCTATGAGGGGGATGGGGGAAAGCAGATGCTGGGATTGTATTGGGACTGTAGCATTCAGAATTCCCAACCAGCCTGACCAAAGAAAATTATAAAAGTTGCAGCCTCAGCACATCTGAAGGGTGACATCTTTCTCCTGTTTTGCTGATTTTGGGGCATTTAAGGAGATTGTCTCATTCTTTGATGTTGTGAGGGAAGCCTGTGAGAATGTTTCCTTCACATTTCCTCACCTGTAGATCTCAGGGGCTCTGACTCGTCTCCTGTTCTCCTTTCTCCATCAGCCCTCTGGTTCAATTCAACCTTCTCCACTCCAAATTCCACCTCTGCAGTGTTTCCACTCGGGCCCTACTTCTCTCTACCTACATCAAATTCATAAATCTCTTCCCTGAAACAAAGGGCACCATCCAGGAAGTGCTNAGGAGGGAGGGCAGGCAGATGGGCCTTTTGGAGCACCGTACCAGAACGATACCTGGTGCTCCCAGGAGGCACCAGTACGCCTGTACCAGGGCGTACCGGTCATATCCCACCACTGATGTACATGAAAAAATGCGGCCCAAAGCTTGCCCACCTCTGCTGTAGAGCATTGGGAAGAAACCTAGGGAAAAACTCAATTGAAGTCAGAAAGAAATAGCCAAGGTTATGTAGAATTTACAGTCATTTGTCAAATACAGCATTTAGATTTAGAAACTAAATTTTGTTCTTTTTATTTGATCTATTTGATTGTTTTGGGAAGCAGCTTTCTAACATTATTACTTTAATTACTTCAATATACATTGATGAAATGTCAAAAGCCTGGCAAAGATCCAAGAATAAATTTAATGTTTTTAGGCTTTAGTATCCTGCTTGGTTTTTGCATCTTTCTATAGTTTGAAAAGTAGTTAGACAAATCTTGAAAATATTGGCAATGGGTTCAATTTTTTAAAAAATGGACATGTTATGTGGAATTAAATCTTATATGCATTTATTTGTCACTTGTTTATTACCTGTACATATTGCCGTTGTAATCTATAGGATTCCTAGAAGTTAACAATAGTTTATATATAATGAAAATTAAAATGTCCACAGTTGCTAAACTAAAAAAATATATAAATTACTTCCCATTAACTGGAAATAGTGTTCTCTAGTTAATCTCCAAATGGCTTTGAAGAATTCAATTTTAACCAACTTTGGCAAGATTACCAAGTTGTTCTAACTTCTAAAGTAAGGCTGTCTCGTTGCTCATTGCTCATCCAGAGTCATTAGTGTAAGAAACTTTAAAAGGGGGGGAGCAGCCCCTTTTCCCCTCACAGGAGAACTACCAGTAGCTTTTTTTGGGAAGAATGTATCAGAAATGTTGACTCCAATAAGAGAAGCAGTTCTGCAAATACTTGGCTACCAAGACATGTAGAGCTTCATTGAATAAAAATGATCTTTTGATTTCACCTAGAAATGTAACTGGGAATCAGCTTGCATAAATAATAGAAGAAACAGAATCTTAACAGAAAAATTTAAGTCTATAGTGAGTGCCCCTGACTGAGTCCAAATGCCACTTGAGTCTTTCTGACCAAAATTACTTCCTTACTGAAAATTTTGTTTCATATAAAGTATTTTGAGAATTCTTATTAGATTAATGATCAGAGTAATGGAGCACAAAATTGAGATAAAGGGAGAAAAGAAGAAAGGGAAAATCCAATTGAAAGGGCTCATGCATCTTTTAAATATGACATCCTTTTAATTCTTCCTTGTATATCTAATCTTTTGCATTGGTCTCTTTAATACATTTTGCAACTTGTATCTGCTTAAGCTAAATTGGGGGTGTAATTGACTCTTAATTAGTACTGAAGGTAAAAAAAAAATTGTCTGTGTTTAACTGCCCCTTTCACAGACGGAACGGGATGTGAGTGTACGCCAGCGAGCTGCCGACCTTCTCTATGCCATGTGTGACCGTACAAATGCCAAGCAAATAGTCTCAGAGATGCTTAGCTATCTGGAAACAGCAGATTACTCAATTCGTGAAGAGATTGTGAGTACGGGTTTCCAGCTCATTGGGAACTGGTAGAAGAACCTGGGTCTTTTCATCTTAGTAGATTGCAGAGAAACATAATGAATGCCTGTCTCAACAGGAAAACTGGGCTGGAGAAGGCAGACCAGTTGGGAGTTGGCAGTCACATTTTCTTTTTCTTCTGTCAGGTACTGAAGGTGGCGATCTTAGCTGAGAAATACGCTGTAGATTATAGCTGGTATGTGGATACCATCCTCAACTTGATCCGCATTGCTGGTGACTATGTGAGTGAGGAGGTGTGGTACCGCGTCATCCAGATTGTCATTAACCGGGATGATGTGCAAGGATATGCAGCCAAGACAGTCTTTGAGGTGGGTCGTGACACTGACCATCCCTTCTTCCAAGGAAAGAGATTTATTTTCC